TACGAAGGCCGGAACGGCACACGAGGGGGTGGGTGGCCAGCATCACGCCCGACCGTCTTTGTCTCCGGGCCGAGTCGACCTAGGGGAGGCTCAGGACCGGTTCATAAAATCGCCACCGGTGTTGGCCGTGAGCGGGAATCGAACTCGGGTCACCGGGGTTCGTGGCGCAGCGTAGCCCGAACCCCAGTGACGGATTGTCCTCGGAGCACAAGTAGCTACACAAGTAGTAGCTACTACACGTGTAGTAGGTGTAGTAGCTACTACTTGTGTAGTAGCTTGTGTAGTAGCTACTACTTGTGTAGTAGCTACTACTTGTGTAGTAGCTACTACTTGTGTAGTAGCTACTACACGTGTAGTAACTACTACTAGCTACTACAAGTGTAGTAGCTACTACACGTGCTACGGGCCCCACACTTTCAAGGGCCCCGCGCTAAATGCTTTCAAGCTATCAATTCCGTTTGAGTGATTCTGCGCTTGCTCTATTACTATAGTACTATACCGCCTTAAACTTTTACGAACGACTGGGTGTTTACGGTTAGCGATTTGTCGTATTATCTGGCCGTATAGAAAATGAAAAAACACAATGACTTTGCTATGCAAGTAAAAAAACTATTGTTCTAATATTTACGTGTTTTGTTTGTTTGTTTGATTTAGGGCCCCTTTATAACATCATGCTACAGGCCCCGCACTGGCTAACCCGCCACAACTGCCGCTCCCCACAACACGAGCGAGAGCGCGCCTGCTGTCGACTCGAAGAACAGCGTGACCATCTCGAATGCTCGCAGTCAAGAGGCGAGTTAATAGGCACAACAACAACAAGAAACCCACCCCGTGGTGCACACGAGAGAGCCGCCGACAGTCGCGGCGGTCGCTATTCGCCAGTAAAGCCCCACGGGATAAGCTCGCACATGTGCCGCTCCAGGAGGACAGTGGCTGTGTTATCACCGTCTCTGAGTCACACATGTGCCCGGTTGGCGGTGGCTAAGAGGCACGTAAAGTTGGCAGTGAAACGATACACTGGAACGTCGCTGCGTTGTTTTTTTTTTTGAGGTCGCGGTTGTGTCGCGTTGAAGCTTCGCCGATGAATTTTCGGGGCTGTGCAAAACCCAGGACACTTTTCATCCAGGCAAATGCGGAGCACAGACTAAGCGTTACTAACCTCAGGTTAAAACTAACAACATCTTTAAGAATCACATTTTAAAGACAAACAACATCGTGCTATATTTTGATTTAAAGCTTTCGTGACTGCAGTAATTCATATTCATCATCATGATGATGACCGTTTGAGTTATGGTCGAAACGTCGTGAGAATTTTTTTTTATTGTTTTATATATATTTTGTTATTTTGTTGTTTCTCTTCAACGTGACTTTACCGAAAAAACTAAGAATATGAACATCGTGCTATTTTAAAAAAATTACAATATTTTTTGTTCACTTAAATATTATCAATACAGTGAGGGAAAAAAGTATTTGATCCCCTGCTGATTTTGTACGTTTGCCCACTGACAAAGAAATGATCAGTCTATAATTTTAATGGTAGGTTTATTTGAATCGTGAGCGACAAAATAACAACAAAAAAATCCAGAAAAACGCATGTCAAACATGTTATAAATTGATTTGCATTTTAATGAGGGAAACAAGTATTTGACCCCCTCTCAATCAGAAAGATGTCTGGCTCTCAGGTGTCTTTTATACAGGTAACGAGCTGAGATTAGGAGCACACTCTTAAGGGGAGTGCTCCTAATCTCAGCTTGTTACCTGTATAAAAGGCACCTGTCCATAGAAGCAATCAATCAATCAGATTCCAAACTCTCCACCATGGCCAAGATCAAAGAGCTCTCCAAGGATGTCAGGGACAAGATTGTAGACCTACACAAGGCTGGAATGGGCTACAAGACCATTGCCAAGCAGCTTGGTGAGAAAGTGACAACAGTTGGTGCGATTATTCGCAAATGGAAGAAACACAAAAGAACTGTCAATCTCCCTCGGCCTGGGGCTCCATGCAAGATCTCACCTCGTGGAGTTGCAATGATCATGAGAATGGGGAGGAATCAGCCCAGAACTACACGGGATGATCTTTTCAATGATCTCAAGGCAGCTGGGACCATAGTCACCAAGAAAACAATTGGTAACACACTACGCCATGAAGGACTGAAATCCTGCAGCGCCCGCAAGGTCCCCCTGCTCAAGAAAGCACATATACATGCCTGTCTGAAGTTCGCCAATGAACATCTGAATGATTCAGAAGACAACTGGGTGAACGTGTTGTGGTCAGATGAGACCAAAATTGAGCTCTTTGGCATCAACTCGATTCGCCGTGTTTGGAGGAGGAGGAATGCTGCCTATGACCCCAAGAACAGCATCCCCACCGTCAAACATGGAGGCGGAAACATTATGCTTTGGGGGTGTTTTTATGCTAAGGGGACAGGACAACTTCACCGCATCAAAGGGACGATGGACGGGACCATGTACCGTCAAATCTTGGGTGAGAACCTCCTTCCCTCAGCCAGGGCATTGAAAATGGGTCGTGGATGGGTATTCCAGCATGACAATGACCCAAAACACACGGCCAAGGCAACAAAGGAGCAGCTCAAGAAGAAGCACATTAAGGTCCTCGAGTGGCCTAGCCAGTCTCCAGACCTTAATCCCATAGAAAATCTGTGGAGGGAGCTGAAGGATCGAGTTGCCAAACGTCAGCCTCGAAACCTTAATGACTTGGAGAAGATCTGCAAAGAGGAGTGGGACAAAATCCCTCCTGATATGTGTGCAAACCTGGTGGCCAACTACAAGAAACGTCTGACCTCTGTAATTGCCAACAAGGGTTTTGCCAACAAGTACTAAGTCATGTTTTGCAGAGGGGTCAAATACTTTTTTCCATCATTAAAATGCAAATCAATTTATAACATTTTTGACATGCGTTTTTCTGAATTGTTTTGTTGTTATTCTGTCTCTCACTGTTAAAATAAACCTGGCATTAAAATTACAGACTGATCATTTCTTTGTCAGTGGGCAAACGTACAAAATCAGCAGGGGATCAAATACTTTTTTCCCTCACTGTACATGGTCCTCAAACTATCCTCGATTCGAGTGATAAAGCACCGTCAATTCACTGCTCAGTTCCCGAAGAAGCTCCCAAGCATGTGGAGCGGAACGTCGGACACTGTGCAGAACCGCATGCGGTAACAGCTCCGGAAACATCGGACAGCTAATGCTGGAACGGGAACATGATACGCAAGAGTAGATCCCTCTACGGTTTTGACATGGCCCCATGTAAAACAAATAAAGAACTTTCAACTATATTGGGAAATGCTACTCATGTAACCGTCTTTTGCTTGTTTCATTTCATTATCAGCCCTTTGTCAATCCACTGCTGGATGAAAGCCTCCCCTATGCCAGAGTCACGTCGTTTTTTTTTGTTTGGCATACTTCACCACGCTTGTCATTGTGGGTTGGTGAAGGTGGATGTTCGGGATCAGTTTCAGCGGTCACTCGCCACTGTTGTTAGCCGTGCCTGGGAATCTAACTCGGGTTACTGGGTTCATAACCACTGCGCCACCAATCCGCTCCTCTCTCTCTTACCCATAATAACCTCGCAAGAAACGTGCGATCGTTATTAGCATTGTTATTTTATATTTATACACCGACCTCCAATCTAGCACTGTACATCTGGAGGCGCTGGAGCAAAGGGGTGTTGGAAATAATGACTCAGTAAGAAAGTGATTGCAGAGCAAAAAACTACATTAAAAACATTACAACATTGATAATGTTCACAGCAAACGAGAGAACGACCTTATGAAAAGCTATCATGTCCTACAATTGTCTTACTATGCATAGGAGATGCACATGTGCTATTCTTGTTGCAGTAGTGGCAGTGATGGGAATGGGTCATGTAGTGTTGTGCTCATCAAAATATGTGGCCTGTAAAACGTATTGATATGTATTCCTGTTTAAAGACAAGTCAGATTGTGTGCAAAAATAACTCCGTGGCCTATGAGATGTGCTTTTGCAGTTAATCTTATCGTTAATATTCGTAATGTCGTTACTCGAGAAGTATACTGAATCTAAGTTGGACCTAAAGAGCAACCAACGTAGAATTAGAAAGCTATGGCTCTAGGATTTAGTGTTACATGTTATTTATGTAGTTTATTGTAAAAAAATTCGGTCACAATCCCTGTGATCACTGTTACGTTGCAATTATGGCTATATTTTTTGGTGATTTGGAAAAGTTTTTTTTCGTTTGGACATGTTTGTTTTGCTGTAGTACGGAGTTAGACTGATGGTCTAAATCTAATTTTTTGTGGTTGTTGTTGTTTGACTTGCATCCCACTGGGATATTTTGCACACAGCGTTGGTGTACGGTGCTTTTTTCAGGAATATTTTGCTGTTTTTTCATGGATTTTCTGTTTGCACAGTCACATAGTCACTTTAAGATGTTTTTTTTTGTTCGTGTTTTTGTTTTTTTGTGGTTGCACCCGATTCAAGAGCCGAACGGCTCACAGGGCTATACCAAGATAAATAAACTGAAAAAAAAACTGATGCAGGCGGTAGTGATGAGAAGGAAACTGGCATTATTTTAGGCAAACATTTGTAGTAGGATGGACAACAACGGGAACATTTCAAGTGTACTGTTCGGAAAAGTGGAAGGTACATCAAAGAGAGGAAGACCTCGGAGAGAATGACTTGACGACAGTAAGAGATTGGTGCCAGAGGAGATGCGGTCATTACTTGATCATAATTGACACAAGCCAAGAGAGGAAAGTGGAAACAAATTACGAACTGTGCAGTTGGACACCTACGGGGCTATCTGTCCATGGATCGTGATCGCGACGATGATGATGAATGTTTAAAAAAAAACAAGGAAAAAAAACAATTCCACTAAGGAGCCACCAGTCCAAGTCGAGTCCGGTCCGGGGTGAGTCGCAATCCATCGCGTGTTTTGCTTTGCTCCGCGTGTCTACCAGGAGGAAATGGGCGGGGAGGAGACGGCGAGAAGGCAGGCGTGGCTTAGCATGAATAACAATCAGCCTCTCGCAGCGCTGCGAGAATCATCCCTGAGCGAGTGGAAGCGCGCGCGCGCAGAGAGAGAGCCAGAACTGGCGGAGAGGGAGCGAGAGAAAGAGAGAGAGCGACGGAGCGAAATCGAGCCCGGAATAGACATTTAAAAAAAAATGTACAGAGCTACCAGAGAAGAAGAATAAGAGTAGGAGGAGGAGATTATCCAAGGAGACGCGAACGAAGGATGACAGCTCACAAACAAGCGGCTAAACAGGCACGAAGCCGCCTGGACTGCGCTAGCGGGCAGCGAATATGACGAAGTAGTTTTGGGTGTTAACGGCAGCGAGCGGGACGCGTTGAGGAGGCGAGAGCAAGCAAGATAAAAAGGGGGGCTTGGGTTAAGCCTCCGATCGTCAAGCGGGTCACAAAACAGCAGTGGTTGGGCGGTGGTAGTGGTGGTGCTGACCCTGTGAACGGCGGTGTTCTGTCTGTTATTGCGGCTGATGCTTTGCCCGCGGCTGATTTGGTTGGGTCTCACTCAGAGGTGAAGGAGCAGTCAAAAGTGTTCGACAAACCAATGGACTGAACGAACGGTGGCCAAGTACTTGGAAGAAAATTTGCCTGCGGTATTCCTAACCCGACCACCACCACCACCACCTCGGTAAGGCGTTCGGATTTTCCCACTTTCGCATTCGCTGTTTCGTTTAATGCGACAGGTCCCACGGCGATTGAGTCGATCGTTAAGTTATTTACGAAACGTCAATGAGTCGTTGGCTTTTTCAGACTAACGTCGCTGCGTTTTCGGTTAGTTACGAGTTGTACTTGTGTGTGTGCATTGTTTTCTTCCTATGTTTAACTGATCAATCGTCTCGTGAAAGTAAGTACAATTGTTGATACAGTACAACCCACCGCTGCCAGTTTATGGGGGTTGATTATCCATACTTCACCGCGCCTCGGCAGTGATGGTTTTTAGTGACCGTTTTAGATATAATTTGCCACAACTTATGTTAGTAGCCTTGGCCCGGATTTGAACTCCGGTTTCCAGGTTTGTAGTTCAGTGTGCTCACGCTCCCTGGAGTTTCAATTATGGAACAAAAAAATGCTATATTTGTTTATAAGCAAAACAAATAAAATCTACATCGTACAATATAAACAGTGCCTCTCACAGAGTGGTATTGTTTCACTCTGTTTACCAGTGAGGTAATGTCCAATTAAACTTTTTTTTTAAACCACTAAACACCCATTTAATTTTCTCACAGACGAAAACCAGTCCAGCAGAGACCGGCAGTAACAAAAAACAGGAGAGAGGGGAATAAACCCCCCGCCTCTCCCCCCCCCGGCACTCCAGTGACAACCGCTGTGGCTGGGAACCAACGAAAATAAAACACCGCACATCGAGTGGCCGAGGAGGAGGACAGAGGAGGGAGGCGGGGAGGAAGACGACAACCGCCGGGGAGAGAGAACGGCGGCTGGTGGGGAGGGCACCATGTTCGACCGCCTGTGCCCCGTGACGCGCAGCATTCGGCAGAGCCTGGCCATGGAGCTGAACGTGGAGGGAAACAGCTGCGTGGCGCTGCAGCGCTACCAGCCCCGGAGGCCCGACGAGGAGAAGTCCGTGGTGCGTACGCGACGGCTCGCTCGCTCGCTCATCCCCCCCACACACCGCGCCGATGCTCACACGTGCACTCGTGTCAGAGGCAGATGTCCCACGTCTTGACTGACCCACAGCTACTGCTGTGTCAGAGGCAGATGTCCCACACATTGACTGACCCACAGCTACGCCTGTGTCAGAGGCAGATGTCTCACACCGTGACTGACCCACAGCTACGCCTGTGTCAGAGGCAGATGTCCCACACCTTGACTGACCCACAGCTACGGCTGTGTCAGAGGCAGATGTCCCACACCTTGACTGACCCACAGCTACGCCTGTGTCAGAGGCAGATGTCCCACACATTGACTGACCCACAGCTACGCCTGTGTCAGAGGCAGATGTCCCACACATTGACTGACCCACGGCTACGCCTGTGTCAGAGGCAGATGTCCCACACCTTGACTGACCCACAGCTACGCCTGTGTCAGAGGCAGATGTCCCACACCTTGACTGACCCACAGCTACGCCTGTGTCAGAGGCAGATGTCCCACACCTTGACTGACCCACAGCTACGCCTGTGTCAGAGGCAGATGTCCCACACCTTGACTGACCCACAGCTACGGTTGTGTCAGAGGCAGATGTCCCACACCTTGACTGACCTACAGCTACGCCTGTGTCAGAGGCAGATGTCCCACACATTGACTGACCCACAGCTACGCCTGTGTCAGAGGCAGATGTCCCACACATTGACTGACCCACAGCTACGCCTGTGTCAGAGGCAGATGTCCCACACCTTGACTGACCCACAGCTACGCCTGTGTCAGAGGCAGATGTCCCACACCTTGACTGACCCACTACTTCTGCTGTGTCAGAGGCAGATGTCCCACACCTTGACTGACCCACAGCTACGCCTGTGTCAGAGGCAGATGTCCCACACCTTGACTGACCTACAGCTACGCCTGTGTCAGAGGCAGATGTCCCACACATTGACTGACGCACAGCTACGCCTGTGTCAGAGGCAGATGTCCCACACCTTGACTGACCCACAGCTACTGCTGTGTCAGAGGCAGATGTTCCACACCTTGACTGATCCACAGCTACGGCTGTGTCAGAGGCAGATGTCCAAGCCTACAACAGCATAAAGTCGATCGATACCAGTGTGAATGTCGCAGTTCAGGCTGTCTAGCGTAAGATTTCCAACTCGCGCCACTGCTGACGGAAGGGTCCCCCACGAGGGGGAGCTGAAGGGAGTCTTCCGAGAGAAGGCACTTGGCCCACTCTTCCACACGGAGCAGGTGTCTTGGCAGATGAGGGAGTGCCCACACTTTATCTCATCGCACGCGAGCCTGTCGATCGCACAACTGTCGTGAATTATTTTGTTTTATGCGGCTGGGTGGACAGAGGCTGTTCGGGGGCGGGGGCGGTTTACAAAACGCGTTCCCATTGTTTCAATTCCCATGCCGGGAAATTGAACCGGCGGCATCTGGATTGCGAGTCCAATTGTCCGAGCGTGATGATGGACCACGGCACCGTGACAGCGTGCGCGTGGCGCAGGACAAAGTGTCGAGCGCGCACCTAGCCTGGCACTCGCGACTGTCGTTTGTTGTTGTTGTTGGGAGGAGCGGTTGACGAGGTCCTGGATTTAAATCACGCCCTGTGCACGCGACAATTAGCGGCGAGTGCTCTCTGAACGTTGGCATCGAAAACGAACGAGGGCGGTGCACAGGGGGCGCAGTGGCAAATACACGCCGATAGATTGGACAGGTAAATCTCTACTTATAGATGCAAAGGCGCAACGGACTGCAGCGTGGATTGCAGGACAGGCCAGTGGTGAAGATATTGAACGGGGTAGGGAAAGACGATGCCGAATGGTAACTGTGCTCGCGCGCGTGCGAAGAATGGTCGCGTTTTTGTTTTAAAATTGAGACTTAAGCGAAGAGTGTCAGAGTAAAGCGCTTTACAATTCGAGTAGGACGTCTCGCCAGTAAATCTGGCTGCCGCCTGATAACGCTGGTCGTAATTACCGAAGAAACGTCGTACTCGAATTGTACACGTTGTAGGTATACTCGCCAATACACAACCGGTTGGTGCTGTACCAGTAGCGAATTGACTCGTTTTGTTTACGGGACAAACCTTGCCAATTGGCTGTGTCGGGTGGTGACGGCGGTTTCAACGACGCATTTATAATTCACGCTATCTAACCCCCCCCCAAAAAATATATATATACCTCTGCTATGGATTATGTTGGTCGTGAAAGCCTCCTTGCGTGTTAAACTGAAAACTGTTTCATTGGACCTTCCTTGCCAGTATCAAAATAAAAGGAGGTCCCATGATGTAGCTGCTCACCCCGAGCTCTCAATGTCCTGAGAGTGGCGTTGTCTTTGTGCTGTTCGCCTTTTGGCGTCCTCTGGTCTAACACGGTTTGAGACTAGGCTCTAAAGAAAGCTGTCTCTGGTGTGGACCAATCAGTTTCAAAGACAATGCCATCAGCATCTACTACCAGAGCACACTCTTTGACTTTACCGAAAGAAATAAAGAGTATGGATTCCTGCAGTCACGAAAGCTTCAAATCAAGATTGAACTTACCAGAGCATGTTAATTTGTTTGCACGTTCGCCGCAAAGTACACGTCCTTAATGCAGACATGATTCCTTGCAAAACGGTTTCAGTTTGGTGTTTCAACATCTTAACACGACTGTATTATTCTCAGTAAGGGTGACACATATTCTCGTGAAAACTGCTTTGTTTGAGCAACGAGTCAAAAACAAAGGGGGGGGGGGAGGGATAACCGACGCCTGCGTCACCTCGAAGCGACCGGGGAGACGCCAACTCTTTGGTTGTGTGCAATGTTTTTTTTTGGGGGGGAGGTGGTGGGGTCCGGGGGAGGGCGCGGGGGTGGAGGGGATTTCCTTAAGGGGCCATACATTCAGTACGTACGCATGGAGGGGGAATGCGGGGGGTTAACCCAAATGCGTACGCTTCCGTATGGGGGGGGGGGTCTACTGACAATGTACGCATTGGAAACGGGGGGGGCGGGGGTGAAGCCTCGATAATAATTTGTCTACATTGGCTTTCAAATGAGTTAAATAGTCCGGCGGTGGACTATCTGTTTGCTTAAACACGTTAATATTATTAATCCTTGATCGTTTCTGCGTGGATTAAATATCGGCCGTTCTATAGGATTCGGGGGGGGAGGGGAGGGGGTGCGTCATGTGTACGAACGCAGGTGGTGGTGGGGGGGGCAAATAGTCCGCGTGCGTACAGGGAGGGGCTGAGGGTAAAGTTTTGTCTGATTTTTTATGCGTACGGACGAAGTGGATGGTCCCCAACGGCGAACGCGAGGCACCGACCGAGACAGCTGGGCTGGGCAGGGCAACCACCGGTGCGTCACTCAAAACCAAATGCCACGCGCGCCTTGCGTGCCTTAAGCAACAACGAGCGACAAGACAAAGGGAGCGGTGGCGCAGCGGTTAGCGCTACGCTGCGCTCCGAACCCCGGCCACCCGAGTTCGATTCCCGCTCACGGCCACCAACACCCGTTGACGATGATCTGAACCCGGTCCTGGGCCTCCCCTAGGTCGACTCAGCCTCAAATGAGTAGCTGTCGAGGCGTGGTGGTAAACATCGCCACTGGGGAGACAAAGGCGGCCGGGCGTGGTGCTGGCCACCCACCCCCTCGTGTGCCGTTCCGGCCTTCGTAGGTGCTCCCTAACAGCACTTGCCCCAACAGTCTGCGAAGGCTACACGGGGAATCTTTGTCTTTGTTAAGCGACAAGGTCACCCGGGGGCAAAGGTCTCGCGGGGTCTCGGGCGAAGGTGCGGCTGTTTTAAAATTGTCACGCTCGCCTTTGCTTCAATCAAAGAGGGTCATGGTATAATAGTGCAGTCCTGCACATTACTTTTGCCACACCACCTGTGGGCTTCCACGAAAGCAGGGGGGGGAGGTGTGGGGGGGTGGTCGGGGATCGTAAACCAAAATAACAAGAAGAACCGTTAAAAAATCTAATTCGTAAAAAAATCAACATTTCAAGAGCCACAATGCATGTGGACAGGAGACGGCCCTTTGTAAAACAACGACACGGAGCAGCCCTCTAAGGAGCCGCGTGTGGCTCCTTAGCCGCAGGTTGCCGACCCCCGCACTTGAAGGGATGCTTCAGGGAGCCCCTCCACAGAAAGAAGGTGGTGTGTTTTTTGGCCTAATGTTCCGCTGCTGGCTAAGGCGTCTCGGCAGCGGTGAGAGCGTATCCACACTTTACCCCACCACGCGTGAACTGCCGATCGAATGACCCGCGGTGCGCCCATTCGCAGCGCCGAGTGGACTGAGGCGGCACGGGGGAGATTTAAAGTCGCGTGCGCAATTGTTTCAATGTGCCCCGTCGCTTTGTCTCGACCGGAAACCGGCGGCCTCTGTATCGCACGTCCAGCTCGCTTCACCGCTGCACGGTGACAGCATCCCCGAAGGAGAGAGAATGACGCGGGAAAGGCGGCGATTTAAGTGGAGAGGGAACCAGGGCAGAAGCTGACGATGAACCTTATTATCCCCGGCACTCTCCTTGTTAATTCGCAGTCTCATAATCACGTGACAGCCTGCCGAGACAAAATGTTCTTTGTGCTTTAAAGAAGATGCACGGCGGAAGGTGCAGGAGAGGCGGTTGGAATGGCAGAGACGAGTTCTTGGGTTTGAAACTGGGCAGCCACCCATTATTAAATCAGGGTGTTGTCAAATCTAGTGGGTTCATGATCTCAGCCCGGTAACTAAGGGTTGCACGCGCAAAAAAAAATGTATCCTGTTTAATTTGGTTTTGCGCTTAATTTGGCTCAATTCCAGACGACAATTAAAAAAAATATCGGGTTGACTGCGAAAACATTACACTGTGACAGATATGACTCTGAAAGTGCTGTCCCCTAGTGTGAATAAGCGGTCACTTGAAGCGACTTCAATATAGCTTCCGTGGATATCCGCTTCCACGTGCCATTCTCTAACATGGGGATGCACTGCTCTGGGAGTGTTCCTTATGGATTCCTCAT